AAGACCTAAATAAATAGATATGTTAATGTATTCAAAATTGTTAAGATGGTGATACTCTCCACTTGATCTATAAATGCAAAACAATTGTAACCAAAATCCCAGCAGGATATTTTTCTACAATTTGGCAAACTGATTCTATATTCTTATAGAAATGTGAAAGACCCACAACAACAAAACAACTCTGTAAATAAAGAAAAAAATTAGAGAGCTAATATTACCTCATTTCAAGACTTATTATAAAGCTATAGTAATCAAATATTTCACAAATAGATCAATGGAACAGAATAGAAACTCCAGAAATAGATGCACAGATGTAGGAACATCAGTTTTTTACAAAGTTGCAAAAATAATTCAGTGGAAAAAAGAATAGTCTTTTTGATAATTGGATATCCATAAGCAAGAGCGCAAGAAAAATTTTATCTCTGTGGTCTTTCTCCCCAAAAACTATAACCTCAATCCAACCATGAATTAAAAATCAGACAATCTCAAACTGAGGAATTTTTTACAGAAAACATGACCGTTACTCCTCAAAATTGTCAAAGTCATCAAAAACAAAAAAAGTGTGAGAAACTTTAACAGGCTAGAGAAGCCTAAGACAACATGATGACTAAATGGAATGTGTACTCTGGCTGGGTGCTCAGAAAAGAAAAAGGACATTAGGTAAAAAGTAATGAAATCTGCATTGAGGCAGCAAGATTATGGTGCTCCAGATCATGCTTTTCAGGATTCTGATCGCCGCCCGCAAGCCTCCAGATTAAGCATGTATGTGGTTTTTTGTACATCTTAATGTGGGAGCCCATATAAGATGCCTTTGTCCTTTCTTAATAGTGCCCCTTGATACATTTTTCATTTTGATGTCAAATTTATCCATGCTTTCCTGTGTTCTTGTATTTCTGCTGTCACAACCTCAGAAACCATTTTCAAATCCAAGTTCCTGAATATTTTCTCAAATGTTTTATTCTGAGAGTTTTATAGTTTTAGATGATCTGTGTAGGTCTTTGATTCACTTCAAGTTAACTTTTGTATATGATATGAGAGAATGGTCCAACTTCACCCCTTTGCATGTAGATATGCAGTTGTCCCAGCATGCTCTGTTGAAGAGACCATTCCTTCCCATGTGAATAGTCATGGCATCCTAGTCAAAAATTGGCATCTACTCAGTTAGCCAAGAATATATGAGTTTATTTCTGGATTCTCAATTCTATTCCATGGATCAATACCTAGGAGACACTTTTGAGACAATTGGGGGGAAATTAGTTATCAACTAAAAATATTATAATATTAAAGAATTTTTTTTTTTTTTTTTTTTGAGTTGGAGTCTCACTCTGTCACCCAGACTGGAGTGCAGTGGCCGCTCCCGGCCACCGCAGCCTCGGCCTGCTGGGCTCCGGCGATTTTTCCGCCTCAGCCTTCCGAGTAGCCGGAATTACAGGCATGCGCCACCACGCCCAGCTGCTTTTTGATTTATTGTAGAGATGAGGTCTCGCTGCCCAGGCGGGACTCGAACCCACGGGCTCAGGCAATTCACTCACCTCAGCCTCCCAAAGGCGTGGGATTACAGGCTGAGCCACCGAGCCCGGCACAGAATTATTTTTTTTAAGTGTGATGATATTATGGCTATGTAACACATTTTTCTAATTTTTTATATTTAGTGAAGTATTTAGGGATGGAATGACATGCCTAAAATTTTCTTTAAGAAATGACAGCCAAAAATCTTCTTGAAAAGAAATTTTAAAAGGATAGATAAAGTCAGTATAACAAAATACTGAAAATTATTTAACCCAAGGATAGATATATCCTGCCCGTGTGAAACAAGTGCTCATTACACTAATGTCTCTCCTTCATGTACATTTGAAAACTTCAATAACAAAGTATTGAGATAACTAATGTTGCCGGGAGGCCTTGGGCTTGCCTCAGATAGCTGACTTTGAATTTGGATCTTGGAATACAACCAGAATGTTAGAGGAAATGGGGGAGGATACTGATCTTTTATTTCTGTGTAACCACGTATAACCTTCTTCACCCACTCCCCCCGGCAACCCCCGGCCAGTTCTCCAGATCTGCAACTGCCCTGGATGGTATAGATTGAGCCTGAATCCTTTCCAACTGAACCCAGTCTTAAGTTGTGCTAGAACTCATCAAAAATACAATAAGACTGGGATTGATTTCTTTTTTCTCTCATTAAAACGATTGTAATGTCCTTCTGAATGATTATCGGTCATCCTTGTTAAAGTATAAACTACATCACTGGATATAATTCCCCTGGATAGACGCTGTGAGATTTTGCCACAGGAGAATCTCGGGAAATCCCCCTATGTAGGGGCTGAGACACTACACACAAATACATGTGCATATGTACACACATAAACACACACACACACACACACACACACACACACACACACACACACACACATACACACACACTGTCATCAGTCAGTGCTTCCTTCTCATCAGACACGTGAGATTCAGAGTATGATTCCTGTTGTCCAGCAAGGTACAACAAACTATATGCTTTTCTAAGATATTGCCTGCCCATATGAAACAAGAAAGAAAAAGTCCATAGAGAATTCTATGACAAATTACTTTTTTAATTGTGCTGTATGTATCCAAAGCTCTTTGTCAAACAGTCCTCTTTGAAATATGAATTCTTCTTTGAAATGCTGCTTACTTTATACTTATAAACACATACATTAATACATAACTTTCTACATCTATACAACCTTTTATACATATATATAACTTAATCTATATAGAAAACAATATATTTTATAGCTATGCATACCCCCAAAATATAAAACTACATATCGCTAAATGTGTTTTATATTATATACATATCTTTATATGATAAATGATACAAAGTCATATATATCTTTCTGTATCTCTAAAACCCTCTAGATGACCTTGTGAGTCACACTGAAATCAGGATGGGTTCAGGAAGTGGCAGGACTCCACCCTTGGCTAGAGAGTGAGGGTGTGAACAACATCTAGATGGTACTTTGTGCTATAATTGATGGAGTACAAAGAGGAGAGAAGCCCTTTGACAGGTTCAGTCTCTTACAATCCTACAGTTTGCATCTCCTTGCCTGTTCTTGCCCAAAGCAGAAAGTCACAACTAATTTTGAAAGGTTCAAGACTATAGTACCCCTGTTTTTTAAAAAGAGCATTATTTCACTTCTACATGAGTTAGCTAAAAAGTCACTCTTTTGCCAAACATCGGCCAATATGTGAAAGAAAATTGTTCTATCACAAAGCCTAGTGAAACGTATTAGAAGCTAGAACAACAGATAAAAATGCATAATCCATGCCCGATAAAATAATATATGAGGGGTTCTTCATACAGTTCATAAAACAACAGTATTGTGAAAAATCTATGCATGAATTTCACATTTTTTTCGCTAACAAACTCATATTAACTTGTTATAACATGTCTGAACATGATCCTGTTTGAGGCAGTAGAAAGAATAAACCATCAGTTTGAAAAGAGTCCCTATCAGAGCAAAACTAATTCTGCTGACATTAAAGCAAGAAGAAACAGCAAATGTGTGGTGAAGCTTGGGTCAAAGAATGATGAAATCACTGATGTTTTGCAAAATGTTTATGAAGTCAATGCCCCAAAGAAATAAGCAGTTTACAAATGAATAACTCATTTTAAGAAAGGACGAGACCATGTTGAAGATGAAGCCTGCAGAGGCAGAACATCCATATCATTTTCAAAGAAAAATTTATTTTGCTCATGTCCAAATGAAGAGAACTAACAATTAACACCATAGATATCTCCACTGGCTCAGCTTACACAATTCTGACTGAAAACTTAAAGTTGAGCAAACTTTCCACTCAATGGGTGCCAAAATCGTCCCACTTAGATTAGCTGCAGACAAGAGCAGAACCTTTCATGGAAATTTTAAACAAGTAGATCAAGATCCTGAAGTATTTCTTGGAAGAACTGTAACAGGAGATGAAACATGGCTTGACCTTATGATCCTGAACAAAGCATAATCAAAGCAGTGGCTATCAAAAGATGGCAGTGGTCCTCAAGCAAAGGCAGACCAACCGAGAGCAAAGGTCATGGCAACCATTTTGGGGGGTTGCTTAAGGCATTTTGCCTTTTGACTTTCTGGAGGATCAAATAGCAATAACATCTGCTTATTACTGTTGTTTTACAAAAGTTAACCATATCTTTAGCAGAAAAATGTTCAGGAAAGCTTACAACTGTGTTGCATCCAAAGTAAGGAGTTTTATGCAATTATTAAAAGAACATGTAAAATCTGTATGTATTGACTTTTAAAGATGTCTATGTCTACTGGAAAGCAAAAACTGTAAAGCAAAAAACAATGTGTTTTTTGAGCTTGATACTCAATTTTATTTTAATAAATTAAAAGTGGTAATTTACATTATTTATATATGAAATGATTTCAAAAAATGGAAAAAGATACATACAAAACTGCTAAGATTGTTTTCCTGCAGAAAGTAGCCTAAGATTAGTAAAAAAAAAAATGAAAGCTTTGTTTCTTATTGTGTTTTTCAGTATTTTCCCAAAAATACTGTTTTAAAAATGCAGGCTGGTAGCCAGGCAACCATAGTCATAGTTACTTGGGAGGCTTAGGTGGAGAATCACTCCAGCCCAGGAGTTTGAGTCTAGCCTGGGCAAGATCCACTTTCTAAAAATTAAAAAAATGCAGTGTAAATTATGTACAATTATATCAACTGCATACACATACATACTAATGAAGACAACTTTTATAAAATTTGTTAGCAAAATACATAAATTGGGAAAAAATAATTCATTAAACTAGAAAAAAATTCCACATTTGACAAATGTAAGTGACAAATCACAGTTCAGTAAAAATCTTTTTTACTGTCTAAAGCCAGATTATTCTTAATGTACTAAAGGAGAGATCCCTTACCTTAGGCAATGGTTTTTGCTGGTTGCAGTTAATACCACCAATAAAGATCATGTTGGGCATCACAGGTCTGGGATAGTCCAAAACAAAGTCAGTTCACAACAACCAAATGGATGTATGGCTGAAGAGATCATAGGCTGTGACAGGTGTTTCCAGAACTTCAGAGGCAATTTCTAAGGCTTTTTTTAAAAAATAGGGGCAAAATATACGTTCCTCCAAGAGGAAGATTTGGTTCCGTACTCTCTCCTTGAAATTCATGGCATCTGGGAACCCTAAGAAATTTCTAGGAACGTAGGAAAGAGGACTGGGGCATTGTGCACCTTCCTCTAGATAATGACAAAATATTCCTCTGGCTAAGACCACAGAGGGGAGTGAAAAATATTTGGCAACAATTAAGCCACACATATCCAAAGGATCGAAGAACACTGCATCAAACGAACTCTCTTTTAGGTATTCTACTAATTTTTGGTCATTAAACAAACTCCTACACTTTGAAAAAATCATGTCAAAAAAACCTGTGGCTGAAGTCATTAATAGAGAATAAACAGTTTTTGCCGGAGTTTCCCACCGATCATCAGTGAAAAATAAGAGCTCACGGTCCAAATTCTCCAGGGTGTAAGAAGTTTTATAAGTTTTTATGGTGCAATTCAGAGATTTTCCTAGTTGCCAACTCACCTCTGGCATGACTACGACCACCTCATGCCCTCTGAGGATGAGTTTCTCCATAATCGATTGCATGGCGAACCAGTGGCTCCCATCCACGGGTACTACCAGCAGCCTGCCTGCCTCAGCAAAGCCAGATGTCAGTAGCAGACACACACACAGGGGAAGGGGGCCAGTCAAAATTGCTGAAGCCATCAGTGAAGTGCAGCCCAGAGCAAGCTAGCTGCTTGGATTCTGAGCTCCTATACTGCAACAGGTAGAAGGAGTACAGGCATAAAACCTGCCCCCCAAAAAAGGGCATGTACTCACTTGTTCACTGCCAATGATTTACTCAAAAGGTCATTAATAAGTGAGAAACATTTGCTGGGATACCTACTTGTATGTTTTCCAGACAAGAGTAGACAATCTTTGCCTTGGGAAAAGATCATGCCCACCACTGCAATGTGAGTTTAGAAACAGAATGATTAAGCAATGCTTTGGACCATGACTCAAAAAGATAAATGGGAAAGTGAAATGGAATAAAACCTGTATTTTGAAATTTGTTTCAAAACAAAATAAGGATTTTATCCCCAGATGACCAAATGCTCTCTACCTATAAAGGAACTGGCATCTCATGTTCCAAGGAAATCAGCAATGCCTCAGCTCTGACCTCCTTCCTAACTGGCGGGAAATTGTTGCTAGTTAAGTATCTCTGCAATGCATAGGCATTGCTGCTTGTCTTCTTCCATGCCCAAACACTCTGAGGCCTCTGGAATGCTGAATAAGATCAAAAACCCTATCTATATGAACCATTCCTAGGATTTGATGAAATGTGACTGTCATCTACTTTAAACTGCTTTCCTCAGAGTTGTTGCATGCAGTGCAAAGTCATCTGTCCAAAGCTTGCCTGAGTATTCTGCTGAGCTACCTCTCTGTTTCCACATTCTAAACAGGGGTTTAGGAAGTCCTAGTCAGAGCAGTCAAGCAAGAAAAAGAAATAAATGGTATTCAAATTGGAAAAGAAATAAAACTATCTCTGTATGCTGATGATATGATCTTATAGCTAGAGAACCCAAAAGACTCTTGGTTTTGACAAATGAATTCAATAAAGTTTCAGGAGAAAAAATCAACACATACAAATCAGTAGCACTGCTATATACCAATATTAATCAAGCAGAGAATCAAATCAATTCCATTTACAATTGCAGGCAAAAAGCTAAAACACCTAGGAATATATTTAACCAAGGAGGTAACGATCTCTACAAAGAGAACTATAAAACTCTGACGTAAGAAACTACAAAGGACACAAACAAATGGGAAAACATCTCATGCAATACTAATCTGCATTATTAAAATGACTATATTACCCCAAAAATCTACAGATTCCATGCAATCCTTATCAAATTACCAATATCATTTTTCACAGAATTATAAAAAACAATCCTAAAATTCATATGGAACCAAAAAAGAGCCAGAATAGCCAAAAGAATCCTAAGCAAAAATAACAAAGCTGGAGGCATCACATTACATGACTTCAAATTATACTAAAAGACTGTTGTAACCAAAAGAGCAAGGCACTGGTACAAGAGCAGATACATGGGCCAATGGAACAGAATAGAGAATCCAGAAATAAACCCAAATGCTTACAACCAACTGATATTTGACAAAGCAGACAAAAACATACAATGGAAAAAAGAAACCCCATTCAACAAATATTGCTGGGAAAATTGGATAATTACATGCAGAAAAATGAAATTTGATTCCTATCTCTTCCCATATATAAACATTAACTCAAGGGCAACCCTCTTTCAGGTCCCCTCCTGCTTGGGAGCTTTTTTGTCTTTTAAACAAACTTTGCTTTCTCACCTCAAAAAACAAAAAAAATTAACTCAAGACGGATTAAAGACTCAAACATCAGATCTGAAACCATAGAAGAAAACCTAGAAAAACCTAGGAAAAATTTTTATATCAGCCAAGGCAAAGAATTTATGGCCCAAACCCCAAAGCAAATGCAACTAAAACAAAATAATTATGTGGGACTTAATGAAACTGACAAGCTTCTGCACATCAAAAGAAATAACCAACAGAGCAAACAGACAACCTACAGATTGGAAGAAGATATTTGCAAACTATACCTCTCACAAAGGATTAGACCCATAATCTACAAAGAATGCAAACAAATCAGCAGGAAAAAAAAAAGCACATAACCCTATTAAAAAGTGAGCAAATGACATGAATTGATATCTCTCAAAAGAAGATATACAAATGGTCAACAAACATATTTAAAAGTGTTCAACATCACTCACAATCAGGGAAATGCAACTTAAAACCACAATGAGATACCACGATACACCAGCCAGAATGGCCATTATTAAAAAATAAAAAAATGGATGCTTGCACATATGTGGAGAAAAGGGAACACATACACTGTTGGCGGAAGTGTAAATTAGTACAGCCTCTTTGGAAAGCAGTGTGAAGATTACTCAAAGTAGATCTACCATTTGATTCAGGAATGCCATTACTAGGTATCTAAGGAACTAAGATTGTTATATGAACCCACATGTTCATCACAGCACACTTAACAATCACAAAAATGTGGAATCAACCTAAATGCTCATCAACCGATCAGTGGATAATGAAAATGCCGTATATATACACCATGAAATACCATCCAGCCATAAAAATGTATGAAATTATATCCTTTGCAGCAACATGGGTGGAGCTAGAGAGCATCATCCTAAGTAAACTGACTCAGAAACAGAAAACCAAACACCACATGTTCTCACTCATATGTGGGAGCTACATGGTCATAAAGTTGGAAATAATAGACACTGGGGACACCAAGAAGAGGGGAAGAGGGAGGGATGTTAAGGTTCAGAAACTACCTACAGGGCACAGAGTTCACTACCTGGGGAATGGGCCACCTAAGACCCAAACCCTACCAATACACAATATACCCATGTAATGAATACCCATGTATAACCTCTGAATAAAATCAAAATATATACACAAACAAATAAACAGAGGTATAGACCTCTGCTGTGGGCTCACCCCTTCAGCCAGGTGTCTTCCTTCAGGAAAATATGAATTTTTCTCCCTACTCCACTGAGTACTCCTTGAGATCAGGGGATATGTCTTCTTCATGTTTTCAATCTCCTTCTACAGTACCCATACTATGCCTTGCATATAGAAAGTCCACCAGAATGTTTGTTGCATTGGGCTGAATTACATTATACAAATTTTCTAAATACATTTATGGGTAAAGCAAGTGGTGTGGTTCAAGTAACACCTTGAGGAGTATTTATTGAGAGATTTGGGAGCCTGCCCAGGAGCATAATCCTTGTTAGGAGCACAAAATGGTTGATTCCAGGACACACTAACTATTATAGACATTTGCTTTGTCACCTTTTTCCTTGGTGACTAAGGCACTTTCAAATGATTGTATTTGAAAAATAAAAACGGAAGTGAGTGATGTACCTTCCCTGGAGGCTTACTTCAGAGTAGAAATTCATGAAATAGAAAATAAAGAAAACCAATGAAACCAAAGCAGGCTCTATGAGAAGATCACTATCTTGATAAAGCACTAGCCACACTGATCAGAAAAATAAGAAAGAAGTATTAAATTATTAATATCAGAAATAAGAGATGTGGTATCACCACTGATTCTATGGGTGTTAAAATGCTAAGAGAATATTAATAACAATTTTATGCCAATAAAGTCTACAACTTAGATGGAATGAACAAATTTCTTAAAGGACACAAGCTAGCAAACTTTAAATAAGACCAAACAAGTAACCTAAATAAGAATAACCTATATCTGCTAAATTAAAATTTAATTTATAATTCAAACTTTCCCACATATGAAATGTGAAGCTCAGATGATTTCACTGATAAAATTTAACAACATAGAAGAAAGGAATAATACCAATTCCTCAGTCTAGTCCAAAAAACAGAAGCATAGGGAATTTCCCAATTAATTTTATGAGACCTGTATAACCACATGGCTAAAACCAGATAAAGACATTAAAATATATTTTTAAAAACTATACTCCCTCATGACATATGAAATAATTTTAATAAGTTTTATTAGATCAATTTCAATAATATTTAAAAATATATAACCTTAAAAATATTATACACCATAATTAAGTGGGGATTATCCCAGGAATGCAAGGCTGGTTTAACATTAGGAAACAATAAAGGCTGAACAGCTAGGTTCATAGAAAAATAATTTACAGCAGCCGGGGTGGAAGCAATCTAGACATCTATTTATACATGAATACATAAGCAAAATGTAGTATATGCATGCAATGGAATAATATTCAGCCTTAAAAAGGAAGAAAATTGTGACATATGCTACAACATAGATGAAACTTGAGGGCCTCATGCTAAGTGTGATGATCCAGTCACAAAAAGACAATTGCTATATGATTCTACTTATATAGTATATCTGAAATAAGAAAATTCATAGAATCAAAAGGAGGAATGGTGGTTGCCAAGAGCTGGGGTAATGGGGGAATGTGGAATTATTATTTAATGGGTCCAAAAGTACAGTTTGGGAAGATGAAAAAATTTCTAGAGATGAATGGAGGTGGTGGTTGTTGCACAGCAATGTGAATATACTCCAGACTGAACTGTTCAGTTAAAAATGATTAAGGTGATAATTTTATGATACTATATTTTGTCATCATTAATTATAAAATATACAAATAAATTTTTAAAGAAAATAAATTAAAAAACCCAAAAAAGCCCCATTACAAAGTGGGCAAAAAACAGGTGCAGTGGCTCACGCCTATAATCCCAGCACTTTGGAAAGCTGAGGTGAGAGGATTGCCTAAGCCAGTGGGTTCTAGACCAACGTGGGCAACATGGTGAGACCTCGTCTCTACAATAAATGAAAAATTAGCTGGGTGTAGTGGCGCATGCCTGTAGTTCTAGCTAGTTGGAAGACTGATGCAGAAGGATCACCTGAGCCCAGCAGGTTGAGGCTGTGGTGTCTCTGAGCAGCATGCCACTGAACTCCATCCTGGGTGACAGAGTGAGACTCTGACTCCAAAAAACAAAAATCAAAAGAAAACAAAGTGGGCGAAAGATATGAATAGACACTTCTCGAAAGAAGACATACTAGCAGCCAACAGATACATGAAAAAATGTTCAGCCTCACTAGTCATCAAAGAAATGCAAATTAAAACCACACTGAGATACCACTTAACTCC